GTGTGCACTTTGAAGCAGCTGACACGACAAATTCGTCTCATTTGGAGGCCTTTACCGAACGAATACGCAGTCAACTTAGTGGAAAATATGCTTCGGAGATGCCAGGGAATTATCAATGCCGGTGGTGACTGGACTCATTACACAGCCACACACAAAAAAAAAGTGTCTTGATCTGGGGACGAGACATGTGTATTCCTATGTATTTTGACGCGCTGAATCCAAATCCGCTATCAGAAATGGCCCAACAGATCTTGGTTCAACCCTAACCTCAAAAAACACCTAAAAATCACAGAAATATGCGATAAAATTGTGATATACTCCCTGACAGGCAAATTTTCACCTAAAAACCAATGTCTGCAGAGCCTTAACCTTACAATTAATCTGACCTGACCTAACCTAACTTAACCTAGCCTAATCTAATCTAACCTCACCTCACGTAACCCAATCGAACCGATTGTACTCTACTGCCGGGCAAGCCAATTTTGACACGAAACCATTGTCTGCGAAGCCTTAACCTACAAAAAAATCTAACTTAACCTAACCTTTCTCGGTTGAAGTTGACATGACCGTCCATATGGTCAGCACATTCCTATACGTTTTCGGGGTATTCGAGTTCAATTTTACGGTTTTGTGAAACTTACTTGTATCCCCAACCTCATGACCATTGAATCTTACTTTAAAAAATACCTCTGATTTCTCAAAATTGCTCATTTTGCAATTAAAAGAAGGACATGTGCTCAAAATATGTATATATATGAGCATGACATTTCAAATTTTTCTTGCGTCGCAGTTTATGAACTCGGAGTCACAATTTATATTCTTTTTCATGTTCAAATGAAATCTAACTTGTCATTCATATCAAATTAATTAACAAATTGTCTTCAATCTATTTTCTTTCTACTATACCGTGTTCTTTTTTCTTCGAAGGATTTATGCAAAAGGTTTCGCTTACGTTTCTTCCCTTTTACATTCGTTTCTCTTTTCAGCATCCAGCAAAAATTTTTGCTGGATGCTGAAACAGAATAATGGTTAATTGTAAGGTTAAGGCTCTGCAGACATTGGTTTTTAGGTGAAAATTTGCCTGTCAGGCAGTATATCACAATTTTATCGCATATTTATGTGATTTTTAGGTGTTTTTTGAGGTTAGGGTTGAACCAAGACCCGTTGGGCCAATTCTGATAGCGGATTTGGATTCAGCGCGTCAAAATACATAGGAATACACATGTCTCGTCCCCAGATCAAGACACTTTTTTTTTGTGTGGCTGTGTTATTAATGGTATAGCATTTTTCTTCTCATGGAGTACAACAAATCCATATATTTAAAAATAATTAAAAATAAACTTTTCTACACATTAACCCGTACATGCTCTTACTTTACAGACTGTGCATCAAAGACCATTGTTATGCTGGAAATCCAAAAACAGTGCCGGATTTAGTAGTAGCTATTAAAAAAGCCATCAGCAACATTAAAAACGACATGTTAGAAAAAGTTTTCACAAGTTTTTGTAAAAGAATTGAGTTTTATATTAATTCAGATGGTGCACACTTTGAAAATATTTATCATTAGCTTATTTAACTTTTAATATTATTTTCATCAATAAAATAAACTGATATACAAACATTTTACTAAATTTTATTTATTAAATATTAAAACTTTTATTTATTGGGGACTTGAATAAGTTCTTACTGTTTCCCGATAGATGGTGTTATCTTAGCCTCTTTGCACCGGGCAATACTACAGCCAGCTTCATCGTAAAACTCCACTATTAGGCTCGAAGTGACAGTATATGTTATTCCGTCGAAGCGTAAACAACATATTTTTTCATAACGTTAAACATGTCGAATTTCGTGCCAAAAAAAGAATATTTGCGGGGAATTTTACTGCATTACTTTTTTCAAAAAAAAATCTGCAACTGAAGCACATAGAATTCTTGTGGAGACTTACGGCGACCATATTCTGTCGGAAACAACATGCAGAGATCGGTTTAGACGCTTTAAAAATAATGATTTTGATGTTGAAGATAAAGAACGCTCTGGCGCACCGAAAAAGTTTGAAGATGAAGAATTGGAAGCATTACTCGATGAAGACCCATGTCAGACGCAAAATGAATTTGCAGAATCATTAGGAGTTGATCATACAACAGTTGCCAAATGTTTAAAAACAAGGAAAAACGGCCGCAATATGAGGAGAGATACGACAAAGTAATTTTGCAGCATGACAACGCTCGGCCATATGTTGCAAAACCGGTCAAAACCTACTTGGAAACGCTCAAATGAGAAGTCCTACCTCACCCGCTGTATTCACCGGACATTGCTCCTTCCGATTACCACTTGTTCCGATCGATGACTCATGGCCTGGCTGAGCAGCACTTCCATTCTTATGAAGATGCCAAAAAATGGGTCGATTCGTGGATAACCTCAAAAGATGAGTCGTTCTTTCGACATGGTATTCGTACGCCGCCAGAAAGATGGGAGAAAGTAATGGCTAGCGATGGACAATATTTTCAATGACATGTTCTTTACTAAGTTTTTTAAATAAAGCATTCATTTTCACGAAAAAATAGCGAGAACTTATTCAAGTCCCCAATAAAATTCAATTTTATAATAAATAATTGAATAAAATTGAATTTTATAATAAATAATTAAAACGTTTATTCTTGTTATTTTTATATAATAAGACAGATATTATTGTATATGTGTGCATTATATTTTTGTCCTATAAAAATAATAAAAATATTTATTATATTCAGGGCATATATTATAATATTATATTCTTGAGATCAAATAGAACAGAAAAGTCTAGTGCCACTTTTTTTCCGACAAATAGCGAGATATCGTGAGTTAAATATGAAAAAAGTTATCAAGTCTTCCTTAAATATCTCAAAAAATATTAGGCAAATAAAAAAATGTTTCAGACAAAAGTTATTTAAATTAATTGGTAGAAAAAGATAGTGTAATAAAAAATTGGGTTTCCATTTAAGAAAAGTAATGATCAGTGAATATCTCGAAAGTCGTGCCATTTGTAAACAAAATAGTGTAGTTGTTTTATGTGCCCCTTGAAATCATACAACTTTTGTTCGAAACATTTTTGCTGAAAATGCTTCATTGAAGAATTATTGAGGTGCGTATTTTTAAATGGGACATCCTGTATAGTACATTGCAATGTTGCTGCAACATTGCCCTGATAGCACAGATGTCCAGAGGACGTCCAGAGTACGTCTTGAGGACATCCTGAGAATGTTTCTTCATCCTCAGGACGTCCTTAGGTCGTCCCCAGGAGAATATGTGCTATCAGGATATGTACCAATATTTCGGAAAGCGAACATTTTACCGTTACTGTAATGTTGCAGCAATCTTGCAGCAATATTTCACAATACTTATGTAATGTTGTAATCTTGTGATAAAATATTGCCTCAATGTTGCTGCAATCTTTTTGTGTCGTTGTGAGTTGTAACATATTTCAAAATGAAAAAAATCGGTGAAGTGTACCTTTTTCTATATATTTATCATTTTTAAATATACAATTAAGTTTTTAATTTTGTACTTGATAACTTACCGAAAATGCATTTTAAACTTTACATCAGAATATATTGATACAATATTTTCCACATAATTTCTGCATTTTACTCATGGTACTCGAGATTATGTAACTATAGTTGTTTTACTATTTCTATACCTAAATTGCTTTCGCTTAATTCCTCATCTATATTTTGTCTTATTATAGTTGCGATAAATGCAATTATAGTCATATTGGTGTTTGGAATTTTATTCATGTTTGTAAACAAGTGTACGAACGCACAAACCGTAAATACAATCCAGCAAACACAATATTACATGTAACGTGCATGTTAGTTGTAATTTCCTACTCAACAATATAAAGCTAGCGGCACACGGTGCTTGTTTTCGTGCTGGATTGCTTATTGCATGAAAATACTGCGTTCTGATTGGTGTATTTCCATCCATCTTCGGAAATGTACCAATCAGAACAGTATTTTCATCCAGCAAGCAATCCAGCATGAAAACAAGCACCGTGTGCCGCTGGCTTAACTGTTATATAACATATGTGTTATATGACAGAGACAGAGTGAGAACATTGCACGGCATCAAAGCTTTCTCACTCTATCTTATAGACTGTCAAAAGCAATATGGCGCGGTACGAATCACGTAAGTTATGTGAACATTGAGTGCAAAGATATACATCTACATTGAGTAGTTTTCGCTATTGCATTATTCTGATACTTATTTTTCTAATATATATTTCATGTACTTCATGTTTATACGATTTAATGTAAATGTACACATTCGCATTCAACATTCACATGATTCATATCGTTTGTAAGCGTTTGACAGCTGTAGAACAGAGTGAGAAAGTACTAATCACGTAAGTTTGATAATAAACAACTTTTGGAAAATAGTATATATAACATATCAAAATATTCATCAGAAAAATATATCCCACGCAGCACACTTTATTTCAGGGACGTCCGACACCAATATCCTGAGGATATATAAGTCTGTTGTTTTATGGTCTGTTCTTTGTAGCTGCACTGCTGAACTGGTGCAATAAGCTAGAGTGAGAAAACCTATATTTGTCTCACTTTAACTTATTGTACCAGTTCAACAGTGCAGCTATAAAGAACAGACCCTTAGATTCTACAGATATCTTACGGATATCTCTTTTAGTACTAGTTTTTAAAAAGTGAAAGTTTCTAAAAAGGAACTGAAAGTTACTTTTTAGTTAATTAAAAGGGATATCCGTAGGATATCTGTAGGATCTAAAATAGCGGACATTTATATATCCTCAGGATATTGCCAGAGAATGATAGGTATCCCAGAATGATTTCTGTCGGATGTCCTTGAGATAAAGTGTGCTGTGTGAGATGTTATCGGTAACTCTACATATTATGTAATTATTAATTATTTATGCTTATAATATATATTTAACTTGCTAATGTAGATATATATTTGCATTCATCGTTCACATGATTGACGTATCATACGCCATATTACTTTTGACAGTCTATAGGATAGAGTGAGAGAGGTTTAATGCCGTACAACGTTGTCACTCTGTTGTAAACTGCCAACTTCCGGTTTCACTCCCCTCGAGGGAATGCTTGGTCTAGTTATATACGTCATTGTTCATGACACCATAGAGTCAGTATTGCAGTAAATAAAGGAACGCACCCTCCGTGGAAAACGATCGATTGCGCGCAAGTTCTGTGCGCGTGCAGCAGTGCGCAGCGTGCAAGAGGCAACGGTAAGCGAATTGCGCGTGCCCAGGTTCCGGATCAATGCCATACGAAGACGAAGAAGGAAGCAGCGCCGCCGAACCAATAGGACGCTTCCGTCTCACCGCGGAAGCTTCTTCGTCAGCCATTTCAGCTCCGTTCGCCGGTTCCTGTGGGTTGAGTCTGTGGATCTACCGTGCTGTCGAGTCGAGCGCGTTGTTCGCTGGCGAGTCCCGTCGCTCGCGCGGCAGCGTTCGTAGTTTGCACGAGGGCCAAGTCCACTAGCTCGACCACCGCTGCCGCCGACATCGCCGCCACCACCGCCACTGTCGCTGTCGACACTGTTGTTGCTGCCACCGCCAGCCGACACCAATCGTAATATATCTTAACATCGTGCAACTTCAGAGCTCAACGGAATTCTGTCGTCGACTGACGCGAGTCTCGACGCCTTCTGACATCAGGATGTATACCAACGGATACTCCGCGCACAGCAGGTATGTCTTTCGGTGCTCTTCGCGACCAGCGTCCAAAATCAATTGTCATTGAGAGACGCTCGGAGAATGCTTTTTTGCGATGGCCGTCGGGCTTCTCGGACCCGTTGCTTCATTGCGGCCGCCATTTTGCTCAGTGAGCCTTTAGTCACTTGCTCCATTTTCTAACTGAGAGAGAAAATCATTACTATTATCCGGCGGATTTAAGAATCTAGTGCCCGGCGGATTTAACGCGACAGAATGGCGACAGATTTATGTGATAATTAAAGAATACGTATTATAGATTTGACTAAAGATGACAAAAGAATCTTTTATGAAAATTTTTTTATTAAAAAAACACTAAATTTTAATAATAAATAAAAGTTGCTAATTAGCAAAAAATCTCGTAGAGAATGATTCGGAACCATTTGCTGTTCTTGAAATGGCATGTTCTTGAACGAATTCTAACATGATGATTCCTCTTGCAAAATGTTATCCGAAGTTTAGTTTTTGAGTTATACAGATAAGTAGTTTACTTATTTACGAGTCGGGTATAACTAAGCAGGGACGACACAACTCACCGTCAGACGTAGACGCTTACGTTGAACGCCTAATAAAATGAGCTTATCAATTCACAGGCATTTTTATAACTTTCATTAGATTGCGATCGACGGAATGTTAACATCCGTTCTCGTTAATTTTGCTCGCCGCGCAGAAAAAGGAAAATTATGATCACAACTTATGATCGAACCGAATGAAAAATTGAAAATAAAACTCTTTAATATTACAGGAACGAATGTGCACTAACATGTGATAAAAGCTGTCATTTTCAAGATAAATCTTTACAAAAGAATACAAATTTTCTTAAAAGTAAAAATATCTTATGCTTTTTAAATCGAGATTAATACCCTTTGTTTTTATTTTCCGTTTTTTGTTTGTATTTTCAAAGCTTATTTTCGGGAACGTTCACGTAATCAAATATTTTATTCTTAAACGTTAAAACATCTTATTGTGATTTAATTATAATGAATTTAGTTTTATAAAATTTTATATAATTTTATATAATTTTGGTGTGATAATTCATTTAAAATACTTCACTATTACGATCGCATTAATCCTTGCTACTTGGAAATCACATTAATTTGTTCATGTTGGACAAAATTGCCGTCAACTATTATATTTTGTTGTGCAATCATATGCTGTGCATCATGTGCGTTGTGAAGAAAAGAAATATCGGTTTCACAGATCCCCTTGCAGCACTCGATAGATCATTAACGGAATTTATAAAAATGATATGTTATTACAATATTATTACGTGCAATATTATTACGTGCATCGATAAATTCATCGCATTATACACTCAATGTAAGTGCCTGCGTCTGACGGCGAGTTCTGCCATCATTCCTGCCTAACTTCTGTATCCGACTTGTAACCTATTTATACAGGGTGTTTCAACAATTGTTACAGAGCTCGTAGAGACATAGAGCGGGTTAAGACAAACATAAAACTCTCATACTGTAATTTTGCGATATTTACGATAATTATCGAATTGTTAATTACAGGAATCTGACGAGTGAGCGCGCGCCGAAATGGATGATTGGAGAAGCGTCGCAGTCTCTCGGGCCACAATGTGGTCCAGTCGATCTAACAACTGTTGACGGCGATATAAAACACGAATAGCGACACGTTTTGTTCTTCCTCTCGCCAGGCACCGGCAACAGTTGCTAGATCGAGTGGGTCGCGCTGTGGTTCGAGCGGCTGCAACGCTTCTCCAATCATCTGTCGGCGCACGCCTGCTCTTCAGATTTGTCATTAATAATTTGATAATTATTGTGAATATCGCAAAACGATATGGGACTTTTATGTTTATCTTAACTCGCTTTATGTCTCTACAAACTCTGTAACAATTGTTATGAGACACTGTATTTATAACTCAGAAACTAAGTTTTAGTTAATATTTTGCAAAAGAAAAAAATCATCTTAGAATTCGTTAAAGAATATGTCATTTCAAGAACAATAAGTCGTTCTAAATCATCTTATATTACATATCACCCTTTTGGTTATATAAGGGTGAGGTTTTTATCAGTTATAGGCCGAGGGGGAATCGAGATTATGGCAACCGCAATGGTGGAAGTGGAGGAACTTATTGGAACAGTCAACAGCAGAACCAGAAAGATTATGGCACAAAGAAACAGAATCACAGGAAGACTCCAGGGGATTTGCTCAAAAAACCTAACTGGGACCTGGCTGCACTGCCCTCAATAAAGAAGAACTTGTATGCTCCCCATATCAATGTCTTGAATAGAACACCTGATGAGATCAACAAGTATCATGCAGGCAAGGAGATCACTGTTAAGGGCAACAACACACCTTCTCCGATCCAGGCCTTTGAGGAGAGCAACTTTCCAGACTATGTGATGGAAGAGATTAGGAAGCAGGGATTCGCTGAACCTACTGCCATACAAGCTCAAGGTTGGCCAATTGCACTTAGTGGACGAGATCTTGTTGGAATAGCTCAAACTGGATCTGGAAAGACCTTAGCAGTAAGTATAATACATTATTTAATTGACTTAATCTGTGGCATATCAATAAATAGAAATTGAGTTGCCAGAATTGACAAAAAGAATCACATATTAACCAAAAATAATATTAATCCTGCACAACTCAAGTTTTTTTCGTGAGTATAAAAAATATTATGTAATGTGAAACCAGTGAATATTAACCTATAGATATAAATTAACAATTTACAAATTTCCAAATATTTTATCTTAGAAAACAGTTTTTAATCTTGGAGTTATAATGAGATACAATATATATATGTACATATATGATTTAAGTTATGAATATCAATATATCAATATATTTAAAGTTACATGGTGTTATAGAGAGGTAAATATTTATATGGTATAAGAGTATTCAATTTTCAATCTAGCATTCAATTTTTAATTTGAAGTTTTTCATCTCTTTACAATTATTGCTGTTTAAATATCTGAGGAACGTATTAGTTCTTGTACGAAAGTTTTACATCTCAATTTTTCAAGAGAAGAATTTATTATCTTATTAAAGAAAGGTGCACTCAACTAATACATATTCGATATAACTCTACATACTCTACAATAATAACATTTACATTAACTCTACATTAACAACTGTACATTAATAACAGATGAAAAATAAAAGTACATATTACATATGGTAAAGACTGAATCGGGAATCGAACCTGGAACCTTCCGTTAATCGGACTAATGCTCTTCCAATTGAATTATCTACACAAGACCACATTTAAATATATTATCTTCCTCTTATTAAAAAGAAGAAAAATTTATTATCATTGATATGTTTTCTTTACATTTATTTTAGTATATCCTTCCGGCGACTGTACACATCAACCATCAACCTCGCCTTAGCCGCGGCGATGGTCCGATCGTTTTGATTCTTGCTCCCACACGTGAACTGGCTCAACAGATCCAGACAGTCGCACGTGACTTTGGTTCATCGTCTTGCATCCGTAACACCTGCATCTTTGGCGGTTCGCCGAAAGGGCCTCAGGCTCGCGATCTTGAGCGCGGAGTGGAAATCTGCATCGCGACGCCTGGTAGACTGATCGATTTCCTCGAAAAAGGCACTACGAACTTGCGCAGATGCACATACCTGGTACTAGACGAGGCCGATCGCATGTTGGACATGGGCTTCGAACCGCAGATTCGCAAGATCATCGAACAAATCAGACCTGACCGGCAAGTGCTCATGTGGTCTGCCACTTGGCCCAAAGAGGTGCAGGCTCTTGCCGAGGACTTTCTCACTGATTACATCCAGATCAACATCGGTTCTTTGACCTTGGCAGCCAACCACAACATCCGGCAAATCGTCGAGATATGTCAGGAACATGAAAAGGAGACCAAACTGTCGCAGCTGTTGCGCGAGATTGGGACAGAACGTGGCAGTAAAATGATCATCTTCGTAGAGACGAAGAAAAAAGTGGACGACATCACGAAGGCGATTAAGCGCGAAGGTTGGTCCGCCATTTCGATCCACGGTGATAAGTCGCAGCCGGAGCGCGATTACGTGCTGTCGGAATTCCGCAACGGCAAAACCATGATCTTGGTCGCAACCGATGTGGCGGCACGCGGTTTAGACGTCGAGGACGTGAAATATGTCATCAATTTCGACTATCCCAACAGCTCCGAGGACTACATCCACAGGATCGGCAGAACTGGCCGCTGCCAAAGCGCAGGCACCGCCTATGCTTACTTCACGCCAAACAACGCGAGACAGGCAAAGGAGCTGATCGCAGTGCTGGAAGAAGCTGGTCAAGCTATTAATCCGCAGCTAGCAGACATGGCGAATTCCATCAGGAACCAGTACGGCAAAGGGCGGCAACGATGGAGCCATGGACGCGGCAACAAAGATAACAATTCCCACGGAAGTCCCAGAAATAACATCAGTCCGACTATAAGCAACTGGCAGAGCCAGCATATACCGCAACAAATGAATCAACACCTACATCACAGTCAACAGGCTAATCAGGAGAAGGCTATAGCGCGTCATCAACGCAACGGTGGTGGTGGTGGTGGCAGCAGCGGCGGCGGCGGTGGCAGTGGCGGCGGTGGTTACCAAACCAATCGCCAAAACAACTATCAACCGCAGCATTCTTATCAACAGCAACATCAGCAACGACAGCCCACTTCCGGTTACCAGAACGGCTATCAGACTGCTAGCAATGCGTGTCAGCCTACTCATCAGACCAACAACAGCGCACCTAGATATCAAGGCAGGACCGGATACCAGGGTAATCGCTTCCACAATCGACAGAATGGCTTCAGCGGCGGCCAGAACGGACCCAATGTATATTCTATGCCGCCGCCCTTCATGATGCCATCCGGCGGCCCTACTGACTCTGGAATTCAGAACCTCGTGAGCAACAAGTTCTTCCAGACGAACCGACCGCCCCCAAACGCCGGCGCCTGCGCTTATCAATCGATGGGCTATGGCCAGTTTCAAGCCATGCCGCCGTACGGATATCCGTACCCTCCTACTCCGGTGCAGCAGTGACGCCTCCCGCGATGCAAGATCGCCGGTGTACGAGATAAATAAGTAAGTAAGTCAGTCCCGCCTATCGGGCATCATTGGGTCCCTATTGGTGTGACAGCGGGCCCAATTCGGCTATGGTAGACTGTCGGTAATAATTAACCAGCTCGTAGAATTTACGGAAGTTTCATTTTGGAGTTTGAGAATTCTCTGGAAGAGTTCAGCGCTTCAATCATTTCGAGAGAAACGACTGTGGGAATTTCAACAGCGTGTCTAGAGAAATCAATATTGCGTTTTTATGGGGAAAAAAAGAATGAGGGAAACGAGAAAAAATTGTGCTATTTCTTCCGAGATTTCCAAGAGAAATAGAAGGATCGTAGAAAATTTGTTTTCCGTTCGAAGTCGTGATCGAATGTCTTGCCTCCATAGAAATTTCCGATCAACATTGAAATTTTAGAGAATCGACAGTCTACTGTTAATCATCGACATACAGAATGAACTGCTGATTTCAGTGCTCAGGATAGAAAAGCGAGTAAAGTGAGATGTGGACAATATGAGAACATCTTCCATTTCTTTTTCAAGCAGAAATATAACATACCAAAAAAAAGACAAATTCGGACAACACTGTATCATTATGACTGGAGTTCTGTTACGGTATGTTACACTCCTGCTTGGAGAAGAGACAGAAAATGTCCTCATATCGTTTGTATCTCATTCTACTCGCCTTTCTATTCCCAACATTGCAATTAGCAGTCCATTTTACATGTCGATGCTACTAATATCTTGTAACGTTCTTACTTTTTCGTTTATTCTTTTTCTGGAATTGTGCCGGTTCGACATCCTCTAGGGGAATTTTATTTCGAGACGATTAATGTAATCGTTATTTGAGGAGTCGTGTCGCAGATGGGAAAGTTTGATTTTTGTTTATCGCTGTCACGGTTCAGAGAGGATGATGCTTTAACAATTTAAGTCTGGTTTACAATACGATAATAATGCATACAATGATTTAATTTTCACCTTATAACATGATAATCGGTTTTTCAGCATTATTATTAAAGCTGTACGAATAATTTTGCAAAAATTACAATATATTTAATTTAGATAATAATTGATAATTAGATATTATTGTTGATGAGTCTCGTACATGCTATTTACATTACAAATACTTACAAATTTTATAACTTTTTGAAATATTTAATTTATAACAAAATATAAAATATAATCTTCCCGTAGTATAATACGGGAGATTTAAAGATAATTGCTGCTGGTCGAAGCATCAAATCCGCGATTGTACCTTATATAGCCGAGGAAACAAATGCGCCGTATCATTGTTATGCGTGTGTATTAATCATTTTATTGAATTATTAATTATACATAATAAATAAATTATATATATAATTTTACATACAATTATATATAAAATATATATAATTTTATATATAATTATGTATAAAATTGTATATTACGTACACATACATATACAAACACACACACACACACACACACACACACACACACACACAAAGAATGTTTTACAGAACTATAATAGTCAATATCTGTTTAGACACTTTGGATAGAAAAATATGGTGTAAAGAAAATTTGAATGACTTAATAAGCATTATTTTCTTGTGAATTCAATTTTTTTGTTAGTGCAATGATGTACCCCAAAAATGCAATTGTATTTTTATTTTAAATAGGACCACTCTGAACTTTTGTATAAGTTGATCCCTTAAAATATTTTGTAAAAAGAATAATAGGGTAAGATGATCATATAAAATGAGTAGTGAATACGTTCCGCGTCAAGCCGTTTTTGCGCGACCTTTCACTCAGGTCATTTGTTATTTTGCACAAAGGCAGACATGTTATCATAAAATATTTCATTATATTCATTAATTGACAAGTAACTAATTTATATAAAGTAGTTATTATACCACATACCACTAGTAGTAATAACGTGACCCGAATAGAAAGTTTAACGTGTACCATCGGTGGTACACGTGACGTGCAACGTATTAATGAAATATTTCAAATTTATTAAAATAAATGTTCGAACGTTTCACTATCACACAACAAATATTTGGCATCGAGTGTCTAGAAAGATATTACGAATACTGTGTAGTCTACGCCTAATAGTAAGATTCGTATACAAGTGAAGACATACAAGTGAATCGTAGTTCAATGAAGAGCATATCGTTGTAGAATTTTCAAACACTGAAAATAGTAGATATGTTCAGCATCTTTGTGTTTTGCGATAAGAATGCTATAAATGCTGCAATTATGTATCGTTATCCGTAATACTGCCAAATGTCATATGATGGGACGTTCGGACATTTACTTCAATAAACCTGAAATATCTCATTAACTACTTATTTTTTGGTCATCTTACTCTATTACTTTCTTTGCAGAATATTTTTAGGAATTAACTTATACAAAATATTCATTATAACAAAAAATTCATTTTCTTATACCATTTTTTTCTACTGTGCAAAGTGCAATAGATATTAACTGTTACAGTATTGTGAAATAATCTGTATGTATATACGTCTATATATATGTGTGTGTGTATATGTGTGTATGTGTGTGTGTGTAATAAGGAGAGATATACAAAGCACATTATACACGAATACTTTTGAATATTTTTAACATAGCATATTCTGATATATCTCTCTCATACCATAGCAATTAAACGATACAATAACTAAATGCTGTGCATATCTAATAAAATATAAAATAATAATTATATGAAAAATGAGGATATATAAAAGTCGGGAACTTATTTAAAAAAGTATTGCAATTTGAAATGTATAAATGTTTTTTTATGTTGTAAAGTTTATATTGTTTGTTAAAGCCGCAATCTTATATGTTTGACATTTACATTATTGAGCAACTTTTCCTAAAATGAGTAAATTAATCTTGAGTCGAATGTATTATACGGTCTTATGATTGATTTCACAAGCACAAAACTACAACGTGTCTTCAATATATCATATATGACATGTGAAATACGTAATTTATGCGCATGCAAGGGTATGACGAAAATATATATTATTTGTCTTATGTTCTCGTCTCTCTCGAATAAGTTTGACGAGATTGGGTGGACTTAAATTGTTAAATCAGCAAATAGAACCGAGACTGCGTACCGATCAATGGAGGCACATTCCAGTTTTCGGATACTTGATGTAGCATTTAGCGTTAGCGATGAACTTATGATATCGATTGTAGATGTTGACCGTCACGTTGGCGGTCCATGAAGCCTTCTAATGGCATAATTGAAAATAAATAGTAATCCTCTTGCGCGAGTAAACTATTGTAACTACATTATAAATGCTTTCTCCGAAATGCACGAAACATATAGAAGGGGGTGGGTTAAGACTATATATCCGATGTAATAATTTATAATTTATTTATATAGTTCGCGTGATTACACATACACAGAAAATGAAACCTGCAAACAAAACGTGCGATACGCTCTATGGGAAGAAAATTTGTAAGGCCTTTTGCATAAAAATTAAGCCATTTTTTATGCGCTCCGGCATGATGAATAAATTGTCGTGCCCTCTGTTCCGCGAGCAAGGAAAAAAAAAGAGAAATAGAAAACGAAGTATATAAAGTAACAAACACGAAGGAAAAGAGAAAGACAGATTGGAACAGCTGAGAATGCTCGGAACAGCTTCGCCGACGAAACTAAACTAATTTCGGGCACTCCGATGCAACTAATCGTAGCGTTAAAAAAAAGTAAGCATCTCGTGCTTCGAGGATCTTGCAAAGTTTCAAACGCCTTCGAGATTCCTGGATCAATTCCTGGATCAATGGAAATCCTGGTCTACAGTTTCAGGACACTTGGAACTCGCACTCATAGGAATCTCTAAGTCTTTGAAAATTTAGTACACACACTCAAGCATTCTTGAGATCTTGAATTCTGAATCCCTATCCTTATTTCTTCTTCAGATGCTCCAACATTCCTCGACGATCTTTGAACATATCCTTTAATCTTTGGATTCTCTTTCCTTTGTCTTGCAATTTCTAAATTTTAGACATAACGTGAAAACGTTCGTGCTGTACTTATTGGAGCTTCAAACGCTTAACTTCTTGGACTTCCTGATTCTCTTGATGTTACGGATCCAGGGACGCTATAGCGGAGTTTGATTCTTGATGGCGGTTGATTCTTGGAGAGACGGGGATGACTTTTAGGGGTAAATTAAGCACGTAGTCACAATGGCTGTGTACCTCGACGCAAAGTTTGATATCTTATTTTTATATATATATCGAAAGTGATTTGTTGTTGAACCAACGAATGATTAAACGATACATTGTTGTTTGATGTTTATGCAATTGGCCACTGAGTGGTCTTGTCTCTGCGCACCGTGCGCGCAGGCTGGCCGCCATTGAAACTAATCTAACTTTCAGTTGTACCTGTTCTTTTAGTTACAAGCAACGGTCCAAATTACTACGCCATTTCTCACTCCGGTGAACAGTAACGATTATATGCTACTTTTTGCTGAAGTCTCACTCTTCTACTGGTAATTTACTTCGTTCCCTGCGCTACTCGTCCTTCAGGACTCACAAATTCTTCAAGTGTTGTGGGACCTCGAATCTCTCTTCCATATTGAATCTTTGGATTTTCTGAACATTCCACTGTCTCAGAACTTTAATAATTTAGAGCAATTTTTGGAATGTAAAATCCCTCGCGAACATGGAAAGGATAAATGAATTAAAAAAAAGAGTAAGATTTTAGGACTTTAAATATTCGGATCGTCAAGGATTAAGATTATGAGATATTTAATATTTATATATTTCTTTGGATTTCTGTTTTGAAACGTTTGGTAATTGCAAAGCTTTAATTCTGGAAACTATGAAGCTTACTAGAAACAAAATGCTATATTTCCTTCTATGTCTGAGATATTTGCGACCTTTGAATCTTTGAAACGACAAATCAAATTTTGAAATTTTGCAAGTTACGGCAACATGCATCCTTGAAGGACTTTTGTGCTCAGTGAACGTGGGAGATACCAGTTGAAGGGCGGACGCGCCGCAAACCGTCTTGCGCATGGTAAACTAAGGATATAACATATTGTTGTATTCTGAAGCAGCCCTTTGCGGTACCGGAGGACGTTTTCTAATCAACATGCCCGGTTAATTATTAAACCAATTAATTGGCGCACGCTGCTAGGGCATATGACGCATCTCGTAAGCAGCGTGTAGCAATTTTGCGAGCCTCCAGATTACTCTGCACATACCACCGTATATCATGTAATTATCGAGAAAGAAATAGGAAGAGACAATGATAGAGGAAAAAGAAAGAGAGATATATATATATTTAATTCTCTGGTCTCAGGAAAACAGAAGCAACTACGTGAAAAGCAATCTCGATTTTTAAGGATCGCGTTTTTTCCCCGACTTCATCGTTTAGAATCGAACAAACTAGTTGAGTACAATATTTTACAATAGCTTAATCTTATATTTAAGATCATCTTAAATTC